ACTAGAAATAACTTGAATACAACTGGAAGTATACCACATATTGCTAAGCTAATGAATGAAAAGACAAAGACAAAGAAGGTCGGGCAAGGTTTAACCTTGTCGGGCAAGCTTGGTCGTCTTGCAGGTTCATGTCTTTATGGCTTATCAAGGGTCTGAGAGCTTTTAGGGAGAGGTAAGGAGAGGAGTTTACAAAGAGAAATCGATACTACAGCAAGGTTGAACAGGGTAGCAGAGCTATTACAAGGGTTTGAGTGAAGGCTTGTCCCGAGAGGGATGAAGGCTTGGGCTGACTACAGCTTCGTTTTGAAGGAAAATCTGGCTTTGAGCAGAGTTTGTGCTTGCATTTGTTTGTTTGTTTGAGTGTCCTTAATCCTGACTTCTCTTTCTTCTTTTATAGACAACTCAGCTTGGCCTCTTGTAGCAGCAGCCTTGCCCGAATGCAACTTGAGAGGCAGTGACTCATCAGCTTTTTTACTTGTTCTGCCATTATAAAGTACTTTATGGGCTGTATAGCTGGTCAGTCTATACCACTTGGCCTTTGGGTAGGTGAGCAAGTGGTCTTCATGAGCTGCACCAAGTCAGAAAAGCCCTTTTCTGCTTTCTGGGCTTTGGCTGGGCTTAGGCCGATTCTTCTTTTAGGCATCCTTTTGGGCCAGCCCCCTTCCTGAGCCCAAAGTTCAAGTTTTGATCCAAACAATGAGAATAGAGATAGTTCAATTGTTTTATCTCTTGCCATTGGACCATCCAATCAGAGTAGAGCTATTGCCGGCTTTTAGTTTCCTATAAATAGGGGTTGAAACTTGAAACTTGAAACAAGGGCGCAAAGATCAGTTTCTTACAGGAAGAGAAAAGGGAACTGCACAAGAGAGAGAGAGAGAGAGAGAGAGAGAGAGGACAGGCAAAAAGGAGAAAATATGCTCCAATTCAATTAGATTGGTGTTGTTATTACTGTATACTGCATACGTATTAGGAGAAAATATGATTATATTGATTATTATATCTTCACAGCAGGTTTTGACATAATTAAATTGTAGTAATATTATGATTTTTACGTCCAGATTACGTATGCATGCTTCTAATGCTTATAGTTTTCACCTTATCGGACTATATGCATATATAGCTTGTGTTTTGTTTTAGCTATATCAAATAAATCAGCATGTTGGTGACTGGGGTTTATATTTCAATTATACATATCTTCTTCACTCAGCTATTCTGTACCACCTGTCGGAACAATATGAAGGGACAGACTTGTTTGTTTACTAGAATTGCTCCATGCTAGTTATTTTGTTATCAAACTATTTGCGTATGTCTACTATACATAGTTCTATACTATATGAAATTAAGCATATGTCTAGAGTACTTAGTAATGATTACTCATATTGCATATTCAGTAATGATAAAGCATGTATAACTAGAAGCTAAAGTGTGTTAAAATGTATTGCTGTTATATATGTGAGGATATAAAGTTTATTGATTTATCATAGCCTTGTAAAGAATTATGAGCTGTTATATAAGAAGAATTTTATTTTCTATCCGTTTCAGTTTCTCTTCATTTATTTATTTGTAATTTGTAATTTTTGGCTCGCATTCCCAATTCGGTTTTTTCTACCAACCCTGGGGCTGAATCGTGATATATTAATTTTTATATTGAAACCTTAAAAAAAAAAAAATCAAATCAGATCAAACCAAACTGAACATACATATTAGGTTTGATTGGTTTGGTCGACTTTAAAAAATTTGTCTAGGCATCATCAAGGTTCTAAAAAGTGCTAAGCACTAGTCGAGCATCAGTCATTTTACAAGAAAGAAAGACCAGAATTATTTCAAAAGAAAATTATCTGCAAACTTTTAACTTAAAAATAAAAAAGAATTGAACCGCTTAGAACTAACTAGGCTGCCTAAATGCCGCATAGAGGCTTCGCCGATTTTCTAGATGCCTAGGTCCTACTCGGGGCGCCCAGCTTCCACCTAGTGCCTATGCCGCTTTTTAGAACAGTGGATGTTCCTTTGTTAAGCTATTCAATCCATAATATTCTCTTACAAGACGATCTATAATACTTTGTCATATGAAATGGAAGATCTAAAACTAAATACAAAGAAAAATACATACTACTGTAATCAACTGGTCTCATAGTTAAAATGTGCTCAAATTTAAAAGGTATTGTCCTCCCTTGCTAGTAAAAGAGAGGAATAAGGGAGGTGGCATATTAGGCCCCGTTTGGTGCCCTAGATGAGATATGTTATGATAAATTAAAATGGACTTGAGTCCAGTCCGTTGTTTGTTATATCAAATATGAGATGGACAGGACTGGACACGATAGGTTATGAGTCCATAATAGAGTAGGTTATTTAACATATCCTTAGGCCATCTCAAACCAAGCCGCTCATAAGGCTATAGGCCAAAACATGGCCCTTTTTGACACAAAACCCATCTCCAATGGAGGGCTATGCCAAAAACAATTGGGACCCATTGTGCCAAATGACCAGCGGGCTAGGCAACCAACCCAAAAAGTTGTGCCCAGCTATTAGCAACCCACTTGCTAGCTGACGTCAACTAGCTGTTGGATTTTGAATATTTTTTTTTTAATTCTAATTTTTTTTTCCTATAAATACGTAAGCCATTTCTACACTATTTATCACATCCTATTCTACACTATTTATCACATCCTATTCACCTCAAACACTCTTTTAATATTTAAGTTGTTGTAATCAAGAGTATTTAAGTTGTACTTTTAATATTTAAGGTGTTGTATTTCAATGAAGTTGTATTAAAATTAAAATATTTAATAGCATGAAACTTAAAACAACATTTAACAAATAACACAATCTCCACCCTAGTACTACTTGGGGGAGTTATTGAAACTTAAACAACATTTAACAAATAAGAACACAACCTCCACCTTAGTACTATTTGGGAGAGTTATTGAAACTCAAACAACATGAAACTAAAACAACATTTAACAAATGACAACACAATCTCCACCCTAACACTACTTCATTGTTCTTTTGGCTCAAAGATGTGCAACAAGAACTGTTGTAGGTAGTTATTTGTGATATTGCGAATGTATCATCTTATGACACCTCATGTATTCATTCACATAGATGTGTCCAGTTCTTTTGGATTCAAAGGCAAATTAGGCCCACCATATATTCTCGCACGAGCCCTCCTTGAACTATTTGGATCATCTTGGTCGTCATCAGACTCTCCATCAATATAGTAATCTCGCTTATCATCTACACTCATGTTATGTAATATGATGCATGACATCATGATAGAGTTCAATTTATCTTGACTCCACCTTTTCAACATCTTTCTGGTATGCCTCTCGGTGTAACGTAAACCACCTTTCGGCATCATCCACAGGGTTTGCAATTGCTTAGACAAGTGTCACCCATTTCGAGTAGACGTCATTTGCAAGGTAATACCTCATATTATACTGACATCAGTTGATGTCGTAGTCAAGTTGAGGTGATTTACCCTCCGTCAGGTTATTAAAGAGGGGTGAATGCCTGAGTACTGTAATGTCATTTTGGGATCCTGAGACTCCAAAGTAAACATGACAGATCCTTGTGTCAAATGATGCAACCGCCTTTAACACAATAGTTGGCTTTCTCGATCTTCCGTTAAATCATCATTGCCATTTGGTGGGGCAGTTCTTCCACTGTCAATGCGTGCAATCTAATGACCCTTTCATGCCTGGAAAGCCATGTTCTTCAATTTTGCGAAGGAGCCGAGCAAGAACAACCAACAACAGAGCCACACCATTGAGGTTCTTGAGTTTCCTCATACACCATGGTTGCAGCCATTGCGGCCATAAATGTTGTGTTATGCCCTGCCTCATACTCCTCATCTTCTTGTCTCCATTCCACCCATTTATCTTTCAATTCAGAGTTGGATGAGGACCCCCAATTGCAATGGGAAGAGGATCCAAAGTTGGGAATTCATTGCAAACTTGAATTGAACTCCATCATGATGTCGTGTATCATATTACACAATATGATTGTGGAGGATGAGCGAGATGACTATATTGATGAAGAGTTTGATGAAGACCAACTGATCCAAATAGGTCAAGGAGGGCTAGTGCGAAAATATATGATGGGCCTAATTTGCCCTTGCATCCAAGAACTGGTAATATCTCTTTAAATGAGTATATGAGGCGCCATATAATGATATGTTCGCGAGCCATAAACAAGTACCTACAATAGGCTCTTTTTGCACATCTTAGGGCTAAAAGAACCATGGAGTAGACGTTTAAGTTTTATGTTGTTAAATATTTTTTTTTTTTAATGTTGTTTAAGTTTGAATAACTCCCCAAAGTAGTACTAGGGGTGGAGATTGTGTTGTTTAATGGCTTAGGTAGTTATAGGACAAAAAACAAATTTTTTTTTTTAATTTGTCCTGAAAAAGAAAAATTTCAAATGCAACGGTAACCTGGCATTAGCATGATGTTAGCTAGCCGTTGCTGGCTAGCGTCATGCTTATGCCAGGTAGCCGTTGACTTTTGAATTTTTGGCCGGCTCCTTAGGGCCAGCCGATTGGCCTGATTTCTCATTTTTGGCTCGATGGGGTCCACAATTTCTTTTGACTAGTTCTCGATTGGAAACGATTTTCGTGTCATTTTGATTTATTTTTAACTCTATAATCTTTTGACCGAATCGGTTGGAGATGACTTTATGATCCTAAACCTCGTGTCCCGTTAATAGCGGCGCTGGACCCATCACCGTTTCTTAAATAATGGCGTCTACTTCATCTAAGTTTCCATCTTGAAAACAAACCTCTAATCGGACGGACCAGACTGTGAGAGCCTGGGACCCACAATAACACTGTTTCCCAAATGTCAATGATAGTGAGCTGTGAGGAGAGACCTTCTCTTCTCTTCTCTTCTCTTCTCTTCTCTTCTCTTCTCTTCTCTTCTAGGTGGCGGGGCAGTTGGCCACGTGTGCACTAAACAATGCTTAGACGGATAAACCTAAAAGAAACCTTCAATTCTTAAATTCTAATTACTATAGTTAAATAGATAATTACATTTTAATATAAATACGAAAAAAAATCAAGTAGCTTTCCTCACATTGTATTATCATCATCAACCAAACCCTACGGAATTTCGTGGACTTTTCTGATCAAAAATCCAAAAAGCTCTTTTATTCCGTACTGGGTTAGTCTTCGTACTTCTCGAGGTTCGATTTTCATATGCTAATTCGTTTCAATTTTTTCCCCTGATATAGTTAATTTAATAAGTTGAGAATTTTTTTTAACGACCCAGAAAACAGTTGTGATTATCTTCCTGTATGTGAAAATTTGAATTTGGATGGTGGAATTTGATGGGCAATCAGTATTTTCTGGTTAATCTATGGAGGATTTTAATCTTTTATTATCCATGTAATCATAAGCAGATGAACATGTTGTTTACTTGATTGGATTGTATTTGGTTTTTAATTTTTTCTTATGTGATGGATGGTAATTTCAGGTCAAATGGCAAAGAGTTACTTCAAGCAAGAACATGATCTGGGTTTGTACCAGTATTTTACAGATTAAATTGACACTGTTTTCAGTTTATGGGAAGAAAGAAATAGTGAATTAATTTTTGCAATTATGTGGTTTTGGTGTTCAAATCTTCAGAGAAGAGACGGGCAGAGGCTGCTAGGATCAGAGATAAATACCCAGATAGAATTCCAGTAAGAATTTCAGTTCCAATTACGATTACCTAATTAACAATTATTGTCCAAGATGTGATCAGAAAGTAAAAAACCTGTTTAGTGCAGTATAGGATTAGGTTGGTTCTGTGTTAATTCATAATAATCTGGTCTACTGGTACCAAATTAGCGTTTAAAATTACTGCCGGTGTCCGTATTAATTAGATTATCAGCTTTAGATATTGAGAAGTTGATTTCGTATTTGTTACCAGTTTCCTCGACGATATCGAGGACGAGATTTTGTTATCTAAAATCTTTTTATTACTATTTCAAGGTGATTGTGGAGAAGGTAGAAAGAAGTGATATCCCAAACATTGATAAGAAAAAGTAAGCTTTTCTTCTTCGTAGTATTGAATGTGTAAAATGCGTTTGTTATGTTCCCTGGTTCAGTTTGCTGCTCTTTGATTCCGTCTTGTTTATTCGATTTTTAGCAAAGTTGACATCTTTCTAGTTTCGGACCAACATTTTAAGTAATTCCTTCTCTTTGATTATCTAATTCTTACAATGGCTGAAGTAGGGTTTTCTTTATTTGTGTGATCATCGTCCTTCGTAAAATGATTTCGTCGTTGATAATTGTCTTTATGTATCATAGGACAGTATCCATTTTCTCTTTGGTTACCGAATTCTTTAGTGGCTGAAGTAGGGTTTTCTTTGTTTGTGTGATCATCGCCCTTGGTAAAATGATTTCTCATGGATAATAGTCATTATGGTAATATGACAATATCCTACTGCCACCGTTTCTTTAACTATAAACTGAATCTGAAAATTACAGGTACCTTGTCCCGGCCGATCTAACTGTGGGACAATTTGTTTATGTTATCCGCAAAAGGATCAAGTTAAGTGCAGAAAAGGCAATCTTTATATTTGTGGACAATGTGCTCCCACCAACAGGTAAGTTTTGTGATATTGTCCATTGGAGGATGCTGCTGTCTGCTTGGCCTTTCGATTGAACATCACCAACCTATAATGTCTTACGTCTTTGCAGGTGCAATTATGTCTGCCATATATGAAGAGAAGAAGGATGAAGACGGGTTTCTCTATGTCACGTACAGCGGTGAGAATACATTTGGTTATCAGATTCCACTGTGTAGCCCCTGATTATTTACATACACCAATCTTCGTCCATTCCCGGCATGTTTGATTTCATCTCTGCCATCTTCCTTTCCTTATGCTGATGCTTCTGTTATTATGCCTACTATATAAACACCTTCGCGGTGTTAATATGTATAGTCACATATTGTACAGAATCTCGAAGTTCTGGTTTACGATTAAAATTTACGCTTGTTTCAGTTCGTAATTATTGAATGAAGATCTCTGATCACTGCTAGTTTTTGCTGGCCATGGTTATGTCGGGGTGCGACTTTGATAAAAGTTTATTAGAGTATATGCTATAAAACGTGTATGATATGCCGAGCTTTCTTGTTGCATCTTTGACTTCCTAGTTCCTACAACGTGTACTCATGGGTTTTATGACATTAGTTTTGCTGCCTAAAATCGCAACCTCTGCATATTTTTGGGTGCCTTGCCCGGCACTCACTGCCGCCCTCTGTTTCTATTGCCAGGATGAAAATGTGAATGGTAACCGAAGAAAGCAAAGACTAGAATTATTCATGGAAAAAAAGAGGAGGGAGATTCAGCTGCATATGGAGCGCTTCCCGTGGCTGTCCGGGCCACCTGAACTCAAGAACCTAAGACCATCTCTAACCGAGGGCATTATTAACCCAAAATTGAACAAAACAATCCCCAAGACCACCTCTAACCACCAAGGGCATTATTAACCAAAAATTGAACAAAACAATCCCCGATCAAAGCGTATTTGAAAATGTGCAGATTTTGGGACTCATAGGCTCTCCAACCGAATGGGCTATGTTTATCTCCTGTCTAGATTATAGCATTGCAAGAAATTATTTTTCAATGAATAGTGCCAGACCAATTTATATACCATCTTCAATCGAATGGACTATTTTTTAGCTCTCTCAATAATTTGTTATTTTAATCTTGTTATTTAAATTTAATGGTTAATTTAGGTAAACTACCATTGAATGTTTTTAAATCTAGTCGTCGAATTTGAATCAACTATTGCAAATGACGAGCTTGGCCAAAAAAGGGCTAACAGAGGGCTACATTTGGCCAGCCTGATGCCATTTTGGCCAAATAGTCTGATGGGCTCCATAGAGTTATACCCTAGCCATTGGACATGAGTTTTTGAGCAAATTAAGTCATTGTTTTGCTTTTAGACCTTTAGGCGGCGTTTGTTTGCCAATCTTAACTCTAATTGGACTAGACTAGATTAAATATTAGTCTAGTGCAGTGTTTGTTTCCTAGCGAGACTAGTGTTAATGAGATTAACTAGGACTTGCTTTCACTAGAGATGTCGCTAACCGGTCTTCACGAGTCCCCCCAAAAACCATGGGATTAGCTAAGAACCTCGCTTTGTTCTGCTTAATTCACCTCCTCAACCTCGATTGCGACGATACATCACATCATCCTACTTAATTCACCTCCTCGACCTTGATTTCGACGACAAAGGCTTCGGGTATGACTTCATCTCTGATGCTGAACTTGCCAACTACTTCATCTCCAACGATTACCTCGTTGTTTGAGTCATTTGGGTCGGCCAGATCTAGGTCCTGGGAAGCCCAAAAAGGCTATGACATGGGGTGAGGTGATGAGGATCCAAAAATTGTTTTGATTTATTTTTAGTGGGTAATGTTTAATTTTTTATAGTTCTAATGATTTGATGATTGTTTAGCTTAAATTTGAGAGTGGTTTGGTCAATTTTGGATTGCAAAATTGTTTCTTTGCTAAATTTGCCATTGATATGTGTAGAGCTTTCGTTAACACTGAACTAGAAAGAAAAGGAAGAAGTTTTAATTCTCTCCGACTCTCATTTGCAATTCTTTTGCTTTTGGGGTTTATATATATGAGCGTGTGTTATTTTCAGTTCCAGATGAAATCTGTAGGAGTTGAAATATATTTTGATGAAATTGAAATGGTTTATATCTTTCGCTTTTTTCTGGATAAAAAATAAACAGAATCTGCAAATTTCAGAGAGAGAGAGGTGCAAGGCGATGGAACTCGATTATAGAAAGATAATTTTTAGGATTTTGATTTTTGTGTTTTGGTTTTGAATATTTAGAATTGGTTTTATTAGAGAGATGTTTTGATTTTGAATATTTAGAATTGGATTTTACTAGAGAGACAAGCTGACAACTATGGTTTTTCCACGTTTAGTATTTTATTTGATTATGGGTTTGAGTTGGACTTTTTGGTTCTGTGCTCGACATTCTACAGAAAAAAGGTTTGATAAATGGTGAGAGAGAGAAAATGTTGGTATACAAAATATCAAATTCCAAAAATATTTTAGTCCGCTTGCTAGTCCTGTACTGCATCAAACGCTTTATTATTCTTATACTACTTAGTCCATGTTAAGCCAGTCCAACTTAGTCCCTGAAGCTAGTCCAGTCCAAGATAGTCCGGTGCAACAAACGCACCCTTATTGCTCTCCATTGGAGATAGTCTTAGTCCCCGTAAGGGCTTAAAAGTGTCAACCCCCGGGCACATGGTCATTTCCTTTTCATGAAGCCAACAACTTGATAATAAGCGCTCAGGCATATTAAGTAATAAAAATATACAGAAGGTAATATTTAGTCCTCCATGGTTGGAGACGGAAAAATTTAGCCGTTATTATTCCTTGGAAAAATATATTTTGAGGGCTAAAATTGGAGATAGCCCAAGGACCTTCTTGAATTCCTTTTTGTTTTTGAAATTAATGAGTTATTAAGTAATTTAAGCTAAATGAGACAAAAAAATGGATTTAAGCAGGAATTCTAACATGCATTGAGAAGTTTAGGTATATGCGGGCTTCGGTCATGCGCAGTGTGAAATGTTAAAAAGAATAGTGTAACAAATTTGAAGGAGAAAATGTTGATGGACTGCTTGATTCTTTTAGGTCAATTATTTATGGGAGATTGGTCGAACTCAACCTTAGGGTCAGCGTTTTGTACCAAAATACCTACCTTGACCCAAAAAATTCTGAAACGATTACTGAAAAATACCCGAAATTGATAACCTCGAACTGTTTGGTAACCGATGCCAAGCATATTCTAATTCGTAATGGGTATTGGACATAGAAATTGAGATTCACTGTGTAAAACTTTCATTTCATTGAATAATTAATTTAGGACAATACAAGATAGTATATATAGCCAAAGGCTAATTACAATAGTACCCTTAACTTTTACAACTAACTACACAATTACCACAACTAACTGTTTACTATTATAACAAACTAGTATCAGTTTTGGATGATTTGACATCTTCCTTAAACACCCCCTTAAGCTAAGCTTGGTATCAACATTGGTTCCAAGAGGAACCTTGGATTTGAGATAGCTAAACCTGTTTCTAGATAAGGATTTGGTATGAATGTCTGCCAATTGATCTTGACTGCAGACAAATTGAACTTTGATGAGACCAGTTCCCTGATATAGTGATGGTTGATTTCAACATGTTTTGTTCTTGCATGAAACACTGGATTTGCAGCAGGTGAGATAACTTAAATGTTGTCCAACCATAGGTTAGGAACCTGAGAGAGTGGAAAACCAATGTCATGAAAAGTTTTGCAAAACCAAGTGAGTTCTGCAACTGTGTGTGCTTAATAACGATATTTTGCTTTAGTAGATGATCTTGCTACTACAGTATTTTTTGGCAGTCCAACTGATGAGGTTTGATCCCAGAAATACACAGTAGCCATTAGTTGAGTACCTATCAATAGTGCGCCCTGCCCAGTCAACATCAGAGCATGCATTAAGTTTGTTGTCATCCTTTTAAAACCAAATACCTTCAGAGACAGTTCCTTTGAGATATCTAAGAACCCACCCTTTTTGCAGCTTGCATGTGTTGTTCTCTAGGAGCACGCATGAATTGACATATTTGATTAACTGCAAATGAAAGATTTGGTCTTGTCCATGTCAAATACTGTAAACCACCAACAATGGACCTGTACTCTGAGGGAGTAGATAGGAGAGGACATGTGTGATCAAGTTTCTGAGAACTAAGTGGAGTACAACAAGGTTTGGCTCCATCTAAATTGGTTTTCCTGAGAAGATCCAATAAATACTTGATTTGATGGAGAAATGTGCCTGCAAAAGATCTTTGAACTTCTAAACCCAAAAAATAGTGCAATGGACCCAGATCCTAAACTAGAAAAATGACATTGAGCTTTTGAGTAAACAATTGGCACATAGAGGTATTAGGACCAGTTACCAGGATGTTGTCTGCATAGACTAGCACAATAACCAGAGTAAGGCCCTTAAAACAAACAATGAGGCATTTGAGGAAGAATGCACAAAGCCAAATTGAATGAGAGCTGGGAAAAGTTTGTCAAACCAAGCTCTTGGTGCCTGTTTAAGGCCATATAGAGATTTCCTTAGTTTACAGACATGATTTCGCATACTCAGATCAGTGAAGCTTGGAGGTTGTTTGTATAAACACATCCTATTTTAAATCATCATGAAGAAAGGCATTACTTAAGTCTAATTGATTTAAAAACCAAATAAATTGCATTGCAAGTGATAAAAGTTCTCGAATTGTAATTGGTTTAGCTACATGACTAAAAGTTTCTTGAAAGTTAATACCTACTTACTAGTGATAGCCCTTAGCCACAAGTCTAGCTTTAAATCTTTCCACAGTACCATCAGGTTTCTTCTTTATTTTGAAGACCCACTTGCAACCAACAACATTTTGTGAAGGAGATGAAGGAACCAAGGTCGAAGTGCCTGTTGATTGCAAGGCATTAAATTCATCTTGCATGGTAGATTTCCAATGAGCATGTTTAGATGCTTGCAAGTATGTAGTAGGCATAAAATCAACATCAGATGGAAAATGATGTTTAGTGGTTGTGTATAGTTTTGGTTTATGTATGCCAGTTTTAGAACGAGTAATCATTAGATGTGTGTTGCCATAAGGCAATGACATATATGTGTCACTACAATTAATAGATGCTGCAGTAGTAATAAGACTTGGATGAATAATTGGAGGGTCTAAAATACTTGTAGAACTTGGAGAAACATGACTGGGAACATTCCCAGTTGCAAAACCTGAAGTTGCAGAACCTAAAGGTGTAGAACCTGAAGCTGCAGGACCTGAATGTGAACTTTGGAATGGCACAAAGAACTGAAGATCCATAAATGTTGGAGTAGTTATAGGAATTGAAGTAGTGCCCTAGTGAATGACTAAAGAGGATATGTAGTTTCATCAAAACCACATTCCTTGAAATGTAGATTCAACTACTGACAGGGTCAAGACATCTATAACCCTTATGTTGTAAACTATAGCCCAAAAAGACACAT